TGCATATGTCTTCTCAAATCAGGGATTTTGTTTTCTTTGGGTAAATTCCTAGGAGTGGAATTATTGGGTCAAATGGTATTTCTATTTTTAGTTTTTTAAGAACTCCATACTGCTTTCCACAGTGACTGCACCAATTTGCAGTCCCACTGACAGTGTAGGATGGTTTCTATCTCTCCACACCCTAGCCAGCATTTGTTATTTCTTGTCTTTTGGATAGTGGCCATTCTAACTGGTGCGAGGTGATGTCTCATTGTGGTTTTAATTTGCATTTTCCTGGTGATTAGCCATGTGGAGCATCTTCTCATGTGCCTCTTGGCCATTTGTATTTCTTCTTTCGAGAAGTGTCTCTTCAGGTCCTCCACCCATTTTTTGATCATGTTATTTGTGTTTCGGGTGTTGAAGTGTAGGAGTTCTTTATATATTTTGGATGTTAACCCTTTATCAGATTAGTTGTTTATGAATATATTTTCCCATACTGCAGGATGCTTTTGTTCTGCTGATGGTATGCTTTGCTATACAGAAGTATTTTAGTTTGATGTAGTCCCACTTACTCATTTTTTTTGTTTCCTTTGCCCGAGGTGATGTGTCCAGGAAAAAATTGCTTATGTTCATATTCAAAGAAATTTTGCCTATGCTTTCTTCTAAGCGTTTTATGGCTTCATGACTTACGTTCAGGTCTTTGATCCATTTCCAGTTTAGTTTTGGATATGGAGTTAGATAATAATCCAGTTTCATTCTGTTAAATGTAGCTACCCAGTTTTGCCAACACCAGTTGTTCAGAGGCTACCTTTTCCCCATTGTATATATTGATGGCTCGTTTACCATATATTAATTGACCATATATGCATGGGTTTATATCTGGGCTCTCTATTCTGTTCCATTGGTCTATGGGTCTGTTCCTGTGCCAGTACCAAATTGTTTTTATTACTGTGGCTTTGTAGTAGAGCTTGAAGTTAGGGAGTATAATACCCCCAGCTTTGTTGTTCTTTCTCAGAATTGCTTTGGCTATTTGGGGTCTTTTTGGTTCCATATGAATTTTAGAGCCATTTGTTCTAGTTCATTGGAGAATGCTGTTGGAATTTTGATAGGGATTGTACTGAATCTGATCAATCTCCTTTGGGAAGGATGGCCATTTTGACAATATTAATTCTTCCTATCCATGAGCCTGGGACAGATTTCCATTTGTTGGTGTCTTCTTTAGTTTCTCTTGTGAGTCTCTTATAGTTTTCAGAGTATAGGTCTTTCACCTTCTTGGTTAGGCTTATCCTAGGTATTTTATTCTTTTTGATGCAATTGTGAATGGAATTGTTTTCCTGATTTCTCTTTCTGCTAGCTCGTTGTTAATATATAGGAATGAGACAGATTTCTGTGTATTAATTATGTATCCTACAACATTGCTGAATTCAGTTTATTAGTTCTACTAGCTTTTTTGGTGGATTCTTTAGGATTTTCTATGTATAATATGTCATCTGCAAATAGTAACTTCTTCCTTACAGATTTGAATGCCTTCTATCTCTTTGTGTTGTCTCACTGCTGTGGTTAGGACCTCCAGTACTATGTTGAATGAAAGTGGTGAGAGTGGGAATCCTTGTCTTGTTACCCATCTTAGAGGAAAAGCTTTTAGCTTTTCGCTATTAAGTATGATGTTGACTGTGGTTTTGTCACATATGGCTGAGGTACTGCAATTTTTACCAAGTGAATGCTTGTGGCAATCCTGTGTTAAGCAAGTCTATCAGCACCATTTTTCTGAAGTATTTCTCACTTTGCGTCTGTGTGTCCCATTTTAGTAATTCTTGCAATATTTTAATATTCTGGCAATAAATAATAATACTTTATTATTATTCTTGTTAAGTTGATCTGTGATCAATGACTACTACTGAGAGTTCAGATGATGATTAGCATTTTTTAGCAATGAAGTACTCTTTTTAAATTAAAGTATCTTTGACATACAATCTTATGTTGGTTTCAAATATACAACACAGTGGCTCAATATTTACCCATATTATCAAGTCATCACCCCCTCCAGTGCAGTCACTCTCCATCAACATAGTAAGATGTTACAGAATCATTAACTGTATTCTCTGTGCTGTACTACCATCCCCATGACCACCCTATATTGTGATTGCAATTTATTGTGCCCTTTATCCCCCTCTCTCTCCCCCACCACCCTCCCCAACTCCTGCTCTTTGGCAACCACTAGTCCCTTCTCGTAATCTATGAGTCTACTACTATTTTGTTCCTTCTGTTAGCAATAAAGTATTTTTAAATTAAGATGTGTGCATTTTTTTAGACATAATGCTACTGCACACTTAAGAGACTTCAGCACAGTATAAACATAACTTTATATGCACTAGGATGCCAAAAAACTCATTTGACTTGTTTTACTGCCATACTAGCTTTACTGCAGTGCTCTGGAACGAAACCCACCATATCTCCAAGGTATGCTTTTGTATAATAAATGCCTTTGTTTTCCTCCCATTCTTATTCCGTTATCATTTAATATAAGATGTACTGACTTTATATCATAATACTTAAATGTTGTTAATTTTACATCACAGTAAATGATTTGTAGAATATAAAAGAGAAGAATAAACACCACTCAAACACATTACCTCCTCTTATAAGAATGAAATTAGAATATTTTTTATTGTACTTAAGGAAGTGGTACCATGTTAGGCAGAATTTTGACCTTGCTGGTGTCTTCATTTGAAGATTAAGTACAGTTTAAGGAGGTGCATAGGGATACCAATTTAACCTATTATGGTTAATTTTATGCATCAACTTTACTGGTCCAATGGGTACCCAAATATTTGGTCTAACATTATTCCAGGTGTGTCTGTAAGGATGTTTTTACACAAGGTCAACATTCAATCTGTATACTGAGTAAAGCAGATTGCCCTCCTAACTGTGGGTGGGCCTCATCTAAACATGAGAAGTCCTGAATAAAATAAAAAGGCAGGCCCTCCTGACAGGAAGAATGAACTCTACCTGCTTGACTGCCCTGGGCTGGGACATCAGTCTTTTCCTGCCTTGAGACTTGTACTATAACAACAGGCCTTTTTCTTAGGTGTCAAGCTTGTCTGCCTTTGCACTAAACTTACATAATATTGGCTCCCCAGGTTCTCAGGCCTTTGCATTCCAACTGGAACTACACCATTTTCTCTCCTGGGTTTCCAGATTGTTTGACTGTAGATCTTGGGACTTCTCAGCCCCATAATCACATGAACCTATTGTTATTGATTAATGAGTATCAATCTTACCTCTCCCTTTATGTAAGAGAATGAGAGAGCTTACTCTCCCTCTAATACACATGCACATACATCTTACTGGACCTCCTTCTCTGCAGGACCCTAACAAACTCTTCATCTAGCTAACAACAACTACACTATCAAAATCCACCACAAGTGTCACCTCCACTGTGAACTCTTCCCTATTGCCCTAAAGCATGTTATGTGTCTCTCTTTTGTGCTTCCTTATACTACCATTATAACATTTCTATCATAATACTTAAGCACTGCTTTATATACCTACTTTATAGAATAATATAAACTCTTTGATGACAGCTACATAACAAATTTGACTTCAAATCACAACATCTATCACAAACCTAGCATATAGTAGGTTCTGAGTAAATGTTTATTAAGTCATTAAGAAAATCCTTTGTGTTAGGTTAGATACTACTCAAATAAAAAAACTACTGCTAGAGAACAAGAGCATATTATTGCTATTTGCCAATGATGGACTCCAGCATGAAGCTAGAATACAGAGTTCCTTTATTTTGATGGCAGAAATGCTTTTATCTCACCCTTCAGGGGTCTAAGAACCTGCCAACAAATCAAGCATGGGCCATGGTTAGGCTTCTCATTTGCAAGCAAGCTATTAAAAAACCATTGGTTTTTCAACTACTTAGCTGTATAAATCAGGATTATCTCCAAATATATATATATATATTTAGAAATAATTGGATACCGAGGCTATAATAACCTGTAATTTTGAAGTTCCGTGTTTAATAGAACAGCTTAATGGTTCTGTTTAACAGTTTATGTTTTGCCATAGCTTCAAAAATACATTTATACTGATAAAAACAACACTGCTGTCTATTTTATATATTGGATCTATATTGAAGTTCCGATTTTAAAAAGAGAGTTGTTGATAAAAGGTTTGAAAACTCCCAGTAGAGTAAAAAGAACTCTAGTTTTATAGGTGGACAGACCTAAATCTGAAATTTATTCCTGTTAGTTAGTAGCTGTGGATTTGTAGGCAAGTTACTTAATCTCTTAGAGCCTCAGTTTTTCCCCTTGTTAAATCCAGAAGCATTGGTAACTACTATGGCACATTATTAGTAGAGTAAAATAACATATTTAAAACACTTGCATGGTTGCTGGCATATATTAAGCATTTAATATCTGACCTATTAATATCATAATATCTCGTCATATGCAATAACTAGAAAATGAGGGCCTGGGAAGAAGTGGGACTACAGATGAATATTGTAATTACAAGCATGTACATATTGTTTAAAAAAGCAGCTTGAGGATTCTGAATTCTTTAAGCTATAATGACTGTGGACTTAAGTGTCAAAATATCTGAGTCTAAAACAAATAACAGAGCATATGAATCATAAATACTATACTAACTGGAAAGAGTAATTCAGGAATATGAAAAAATAAGGTATGAAGATTTCATGACCTTTGTCACCATCACCATGAAACCCAATGTTAAGCATGTCTAAATAGGTATTTCCTACTAAAATCTAAGGCACAGTATTAGTGTAGACACTATGAGGAATCCTCACTCATTTTTCAAGGAGCATTCAATTAACATTCTCCTGAGTTTGTTGAAACTTCATTTCTTGACTTAAAAATTTTAGTAAACAATATATTAATCAGGTTCAGTTAGTGCAACCGCTATGAAACCAAGTGATGAGAGAAATTGCATATAATAAAATTTATCAAATACCATGTCACAAATTGAACATGAAGATTAAAACAAGCTAATACCTGCTTGGAAAGCACTTTCATGTGCCCTACACTTCCCCGGCAGTATGCTTCAAGTATGACACCAAACTGTACTGAGATAGCAGGAATGTGTACTTCTGACCTGCAGAAAGTTAGTAATATGAAGATAGTTTATTTATCAAACACTTCAGAACACCAAATAAAAATATACTTCTTTCTGCTATTACAAAATTAACTTGTGATGCCAATGAGGAACACACCATTTTGTGCATAATTATTAGTGGGACGGTCAACTTTCAATTCTTTAAACATCACACTTCAAGAAGATTTTATAATTAATTCTTTATTCTAAGAAATCTGAACAATTTTCAAATGTCACCTCCTTTGCTTTGGAAGTAAAATGTTAATATGACCAACTGAGAGATAATTAAGAGAAACACAGATATCTGACTCAATTTTTTTTTCACTTAAGGAATGGTGTACACATTTGAAAAAAAATTTTTATATAAAGTACCTTATTTTGTTATGCCCTAAGGGGTTTAAAAATAAGATTTAACTGTATGAGAAAAGACAAGTTAAAACTAAGAAAGGAAAAATTCTGAATAAAAAGGAGATCAAGATTCAGAAATACAATCCCTAAAATTAAATAAAAATATTAGAGCTTATTTTCCTTAAGCTTGGCTGAAGAGAAGGAAATGTTTTTTCTGATAATCATTAGTTTCAATATTCTGATAAAAACAAAAATGTCTGAGTACAGTATCAGAAATGAGGAATCAACAATTTTCCTAGGCAACAAAATAATTTTAGTTCTCTTTTCTTGATTTTACTCATATAAAATCAGTGAAATGTTTCATGTATTTCTGAAAATGACCTAGTTAATAAGAAAACTGAAAAAAAAAAAAGTTGCTGTTGTTATAGGAAAACTTTAAAACCTTTCCCAGTAGTACCAATATTACTGTCTATAACCTTTTGGAAGGAATAATTATATCTGTTTTTAATCCAAATATATTAACACAATTAAGTACACATTACTAGAAAATAGCAATATGTTAATTATTAGTTTCAGTTGAGGAACACACCATTTTGTGCATAATTATTAGTGGGATGGTCAACTTTCAATTCTTTAAATATCACACTTCAAGATTTTATAATTAATTCTTTATTCTAAGAAATCTGAAGTATTTTCACATCAAGGCAGCATGGAGAAACACATCTAAAATTACTTAGCCAAATCATGAAAATTGAGATTTTGTGTGTCAAGAAATAGAAGACATAAGAGAATACAAATGTTACAGGTGGCTCAGAAACAATGAAAGCAGCTGTTTTTGCTAAGTGTCCTGTATTATACTAATTTATATTTACAAAAGCACAAGGTGGACTCAAACTGAAATATAAGACTTACCTAAGGTGCCAAAACAGAAACTGCCCTATCCTCCGATTAGCAAGTGCTCTTTCTAACAGGAATCTAGACAGGGCACAATCAAGAAAAGGCTCATATTTTAAAACTTGCACCAGTTGTAAAAGATACTGAGAGAGTTCTTCATCACTGCAAGAAAGAAAAGACAAGAGTAAGCCACTCAACAACTTGTGCCAGAAAAAGATCCCTTCCTATCAAACTACCAAATACTAACTGCAACACAATGGTCCTTTTTGCATCAGGCTTGTTACATGCGTCCATTCACTGTTCTATCATAACAGTAACACAAGGAAAGCTGAAGATTTCATATGGGTAGGAGGGGGAGTTGAAAGGAATAAAGAACAGATATTATGGGGCACTTTCATTAAATTAATTAGGTTGATATGACTGATGATTTTATTTACAATCAGCCCAGAGTTACAGTAAAATTAGGTATTTTAATATTGATTTCCCATTATGTTGAATATGATATATAGTCAGGCAATCGATTAGTTTTTAAAATAAAAATTCCATTAGTACTTCAGCAATATGTTTTCCTTTCCTATCATTAGGATTAATTCCTTCTAGATAATCAATGAACAATTAAAATACTAACTTCAAATACTCTAAAGGATAAAGAAATAAGTGTATATGTAAATGGAAACTGGTACTCTGAATTAATATAATGTAATACTGTAATTGTATGAGCTGGATTACTTAAGGTTAGTGGTTTTCTATTTTGTGTTCATCTCCAAACCATTCACATGTGTACATACTCCAATCAGAGACAATTCCAGTAGTCAGGTAAGATATGAATCCAAAGTCCTACTTATTGACTATATTCTCGGACAACAAATGGTTTAGAAAGTAATCTCAAGTAGATCTTGGACTGAAGCCCAGGATACTATATATGAAGAAAAAACTCTCACAACCAGAAATTTTCACATAGGAAAACGTACAAGAATTACCTATATGGAACATAGGGATCTGAACAATCTCCTCCTGGGGATCAATACATTTAAGAAAAACACTTGCCTCAACCCAAGGGGAGTTTGGTAGTTCTTCCTGCTCAGGTCTCCAATGCAAACTTAGGGAGACTAATGAGCAACAGGGAGTTGCATTATTTAAAACTACCTATACAACAATCTTAAGTTTATTATGAAATTCATGCCCATTATAAAACCTACAAATAGTGTAAAAGAAAGGTAGTACAGAAATAGGAGAAGGAATCCTCTTTCCTTACACTCCTAATTTCACTCCCCCAAAATAACCACTATTGAAGAGTTTGTGTAGTTTCTTTTGGATATCATATGGTTTAAAACATACTATTTAAAAAAGAAGTATACATATTTTTCTGAGAACTTTTTATTTTTCATATAATCATAGTGTATAAAACCTCACTTTTGAGGCTAGAAATGGAACACTTGAAAAGTGAGGTACTTCAATGTCATTTCTTCAAATAAATTATCAGATTCTCAAATGTGTACTACCCAAAGGTTACTGTACAAGCGTGTTCACTGCATTTATAGTAAGGAAATCTGGAGAAAATGTAAAATATTTCTCAATGGGAAAATGAAGTAAATAAGATACATTCATATGACAGGATATTAACACAGTAGTGAAAGGAATACATTAACATTAATATGTAATGGGAGAAACTGACCTCAAAAACCAAATATTGAATTTAAAAAATAGCAAGATGCCATGGTGTGGGGGATCACGGGGAGAACAGTGTAGCACAGGAAAGGCACATAGTGTATCTCTGGCAACTTGCTGCACTGATGGACAGTGACTGCATTGGGGTATGGGTAGGGACTTGATAACATGGGTAAATGTTGTAACCATATTGTTTGTTCAGGTGAAACCTTCGTAAGAGTGTGTATCAATCATACCTTAATAAAAAATAAAAAATAAAAAATAAAAAAATAGCAAGAGGCAAAGCAATATATATGACAAGACACAGCTGCATAATTTTTAAATGTACAATATTAATCTGTATCTGTGTGTTTTTATAGATATAAAAATGTGGTATAGAAGGATACACACCAAATTCATGATAACGGCTCTCTTTGGAAAATGAAAAAAGTCAGGACTGGGTAAGGAAACTGGGAACTGGGAACTTCACTTTTACATATAATGTTATCTGCTTAAAAATGACAAAAAATAGTGTGCTGACCTCCAATGAGTTCTGCGCAGTGGTATAGAGGGCATGTCAAAGTGTGGGCAAAGGGTCTGTTTGTTTCTATGCAGAAGATCAAGGCCTAGCTTGGATACCCAGAAAATGAACNTATATTATTTGTCTATTTTAAGAGTCAACTTAGAAGAAAAGCCACAGAGGTTTTGGTTCTCCAAACGTACCACCTAATTGGAGAATTAGTCATTCTAATGTAGTTAGGGAAGTAAAACATTCTTTTTAAAAGACCTATCACCACATTTATAAGCAATAAGTATAAATTAAATGCAATACATAATGAGCACCACAAGGCTAAGAGTTATGCACTCACGCACATAATGCATATCATGAAGGAAGAGTTCTAAGTTTTGAAGCAGAACTAAGCCCACACCCACTCACTACTTAGCAGGAACTCTGTGATGTCCTCCTTCCCTGTCTTTTCCCATTCCTTGCACAAGTAAACAAAGGGACTCTATATTTATTTATTGAGAAAAATAAAAACATCCACTCATTCAATAAATATTTATTGATGAACACATACAGTCATTTGCAAAATACAACGGGAACAAATATGAAAAATATATTTAACATCTAAATGTCTTGTAGAGGGATTAAATATTAACTCTAAGGCAGTATGTAAGTCCTATAAGAAAAGTGAAACTAAAGCACTAATGGAGGATCAGAAGAAGGGAGTCTCTTCAGTTGGTGAGTTATACAAAGACTTCAATGAAGCAGGTAGCAGTAGGGATAGACCATGAAAGATGATAATAATTTGAATACATGGAGATAGGGAAAAAAGAATTCTAAGCATAGAGAAGAGCATGAGCATAGGAATATAAATGGGAACATTCTGGGAATTAGTGAAATAGAATAGAGACCAAAATGTAAGAGCTAAAACTATAAAGTCTTAGAAGAACACACAGCAGAAAAGCTTCATGATACTGGATTTGGCAGTTTCTTGTCTATGATACCAAAAGCACAGGCAACAAAAGAAAAAGAAAAATTGGATTACATAAAAAATTAAAGACTTTTGTGCATTAAAGGACAGAGTGAAATGGCAACCCATAGAATTGGAGAAAATATTTGCAAATCATGTATCTGGTAAGAGATTAATAACCTGATATGTGAAGAACTTCTAAAACTCAGTTAAACAAACAACCCAATTAAAAAATGGGCAAAGGACTTGAAAAGACATTTCTCCAGAGAAAATACACAAATTTCCAATAAGCACATGAAAAGATGCTCAACATTACTGGTCTTAGAAAAATGCAAATCAAAACCATGAGATATCACTTAGTACCTATTAGGATGGGTATTATAAGAAAAAAACAGAAAATAAGAGGTGTTGGCAAGGATGTGGGAAAATCGGAACCTTCATGCACTGATATTAAGAATGTAAAATGGTATAACCACTATGGGAAACAGCACAACAGCTCTACAAATAGTTAAACATAGACCCAGCACACAAAGACCCAGCAATTTCACTCTTAGGTACATATCCAAAATGATTGAAAACAGGTACTCAAACAAATGCTTATTCAAAATATTCATAGCAGCACTGTTCACAGTAGCAAAATGTAGAAACAACCCAAAGGTTCACCAAGAGATGAATTAATAAACAAAGTGGGATATATTATTCAGCCATAAAAAAGAAAAGTAGTACTGATATATAGCACAATGTGGATGAACCTCAACAACATTATGCAAAAGGTCACATGTTATATGATTCCACTTACATGAAATACTGAGAATAGGTAAATCCAGAGACAGAAAACAGATCTGTGGTTGCATGGGGAGTAACTGCTTGATGGTTATGGGGTTTTCTTTTGGGGTGAAATTGTTTTGGAACTAGACAGAGGTGGCAGTTGCATACAACAATGCCTGTACTAAATGCAATTTAATTGCTCATTTTAAAAGGATTAATTTTATGTTATCTGAATTTCACCTTAATTTAAAAAGGAAGGTATCCATAGAAGTTGAGAAGCTAAACATTTGTGACCCCCAGATGAACTCCCTCCAGGGAAAGGGATAAAGAGAGGATGAAAATGCTGACAGTGATTGATTTTACCATAAATAAACATGGATCATGTTTTGTTACAAAAAAAAAAAAAAAAATGACAAAAAATAGTAACATTTCTTAATTTTGGGTAGTAGACAGAAAAGAGTTAACACAGTAGCAGGCCTGACTACTACCCTTTGAAAAAGCCTGCTTACAATGCTGGCTTTTAGCTGGGATCCAGGAATGTTAAGGAGGGTTCCCACCACCATAACAGGTAAGAATGGCTCACCACACAGAAACTGTTTTTACAAACAGTATGGTTTACGCTCACTACCCGTTTTTCTTTTAGAAGTCTAGAATATTGGTATAAGCTAGGCACAACATGTTTATGTGACTAGCCCCCAAGAAAAACCCTGGCCACCAAGTCTCCAACAAACTCCCTAGTAGACAATGTTTCAGACATGTTGCCACAACTTGCTGCTGGGGGAATTAAGTGCCCTCACTGGGCAAGAACCCTTAGAAGCTTCATCCAAACATCCTCCAAACTTCACTCAATGAATCTTTTTTCCTTTGCCAATTTTCCTCTGTATTCTTTTGCTATAACAAATCAGGGCCAAGAGCATGACTATATATATGTTGAGTCCTGTGAGTCCTCCTAGTGGATCACAGAATTTGAGGGTCATCTGGGAGAACTCCTGACCCAATGGTTTGGTTTTTATTTTAGAGTCACTATGAAAGAATGATATGTATGACAGAGAGCACAGGAACAATGCTTTCAACTCTGAAAAAGTCTCAGCCTTTTCCTTTCTTATGAGACATTTAAACAAACAACACCTTCTCTATCCATCCCCAAGTTATTTCATGCCCAAGGAAAGCCAAAGGGTGGAGATACCTCATCTGTCGCAGGCAGCCCACAGCATATTCTCGCACGTACTGATCTGGATAGTTGAAATCCAAAAGCTCCAGGGCCTCCCGGGGTGGCAGTTTAGGCCAAATCTGAAGTAGTGCCTGAAGCTGTTTAAAAATCAAAACTGGTTCAGAAATTATAGGGGAGAACAGTAATCTATTTTCCTTTGGTTCACAGGAGCAAAAAGAAATGGGTCAAAACAAGGGAGAAGCATACTTGAAACTATTTCTGACATCTAAAAAATTCATCCCTATTAATATGAACTCTTAAGTACTTACCTAAAATAGAATGATACAATGAACAGATGGATTACACAATCATTAATCATTAAATAATTTTTAAAAGAGAATTACACTTAAAGGTAAAATTCAAAGTGCAAACATAAGCTGCAAGGCTCAAGCCAATGACAAGCAATTTACATATAAAATGTAAATTAATAACTCAATAGTATTTTGAAGAAGTTTATTTTTAACTGTTAATATTTTAAGAGTATTTATCACATAATAGAACTTTATTCATCATAACATGTTTAAACCCTTTAAATCATAATAAATAACCTATAAAAAATAAACAGTAACCAGAAAACCAAGAAGAAAAGGACAACTTGTTAGAAAAATACAACCTTCCAAGACTGACCAAGGAAGAAACACAAAATCTAAACAAACCAATTACCAGCAAAGAAATTGAAGTGGTAATCAAAAAACTACCCAAGAACAAAACCCCTGGGCCAGATAGATTTACCACAGAATTTTATCAGACATACAGAGAAGAGAAGACATAATACTCATTCTCAAAGTTTTCCAAAAAATCAAAGAGGAGGGAATACTCCGAAACTCATTCTATGAAGCCAACATTACCCTAAAACCAAAACCAGGCAAAGACCCCACCAAAAAAGAAAATTACAAACCAATATTCCTGATGAACGTAGATGCAAAAATACTCAACAAATTATAAGCAAAGTGAATTCAAAAATATATCAGAAGGATCATACACCATGACCAAGTGGGATTCATCCCAGGGATGCAAGGATGGTACAACATCTGAAAATCCATCAACATAATCCACCACATAAATAAAAAGAAAGACAAAAACCACATGATAATCACCATACATGCTGCAAAAGCATTTGACAGAATTCAACATCCATTCATGATAACAACTCTCAGCAAAATGGGTATAGAGGGCAAGTACCTCAACATAATAAAGGCCATATATGATAAGCCCACAGCCAACATCATACTGAACAGTGAGAAGCTGAAAGCTTTTCCTCTGACATTGTGTACAACACAGGGATGCCCACTCTCCCCACTGTTATTCAACATAGTACTGGAGGTCCTAGCCATGGCAATTAGACAAAAAAAACAAATACAAGGAATCCAGATTGGTAAAGAAGAAGTCAAACTGTCACTATTTGCAGATGACATGATATTTTATATAAAAAACCCTAAAGACTCCACTCCAAAACTACCAGAACTGATATTGGAATACAGCAAAGCTGCAGGATACAAAATTAAAACACAGAAATCTGTGGCTTTCCTATACACTAACAATGAACTAATAGAAAGAGAAATCGGGAAAACAATTCCATTCACAATTGCATCAAAAAGAACAAAATATCTAGGAATAAACCTAACCAAGGAAGTGAAAGACCTATACCCTGAAAACTACAAGATACGCTTAAGAGAAATAAAAGAGGGCACTAACAAATGGAAACTCATCCCATGCTCTTGGCTAGGAAGAATTAGTACTGTCAAAATGGCCAACCTGCCTAATGCAATCTACAGATTCAATGCAATCCCTATCAAATTACCAACAACATTCTTCAACCAACTGGAGCAAATAGTTCAAAAATTCATATGGAACCACCAAAGAGCCCAAATAGCCAAAGCAATCCTGAGAAAGAAGAATAAAGTGGCGGGGATCTCACTCCCCAACTTCAAGCTCTACTACAAAGCCATTGCAATCAAGACAGTTTGGTACTGGCACAAGAACAGAGCCACAGACCAGTGGAACAGATTAGAGACTCCAGACATTAACCCAAACATATATGGTCAATTAATATTCGATAAAGGAGCCATGGACATACAATGGGGAAATGACAGTCTCTTCAACAGATGGTGTTGGCAAAACTGGACAGCTACATTTAAGAGAATGAAACTGGATCATTGTCTAACCCCGTACACAAAAGTAAATTCGAAATGGATCAAAGACCTGAATGTAAGTCATGAAACCATAAAACTCTTAGAAAAAAACATAGGTAAAAATCTCTTAGACATGAACATGAGGGACTTCTTCATGAACATAACTCCCCAGGCAAGGGAAACAAAAGCAAAAATGAACAAGTGGGACTATATCAAGCTGAAAAGCTTCTGTACAGCAAAGGACACCATCAATAGAACAAAAAGGTACCCTATAGTATGGGAGAATATATTCATAAACAACTGATCCGACATCCAAAATTTATAAAAAGCTCATGCACCTCAACGAACAAAAAGCAAATTATCCAATTAAAAAATGGGCAGAGTACCATCCAAAAGACAAACAACAACAAATGTTGGCCAGGTTGTGGAGAAAGGGGAACCCTCCTACACTGCTGGTAGGAATGCAAATTAGTTCAAGCATTGTGGAAAGCAGTACAGAGGATCCTCAAAAAGCTCAAAGTAGAAATTCCATTTGACCCAGGAATTCCACTTCTAGGAATTTACCCTAAGAATTCAGCACTCCAGTTTGAAAAAGACAGATGCACCCCTATGTTTATTGCAGAACTATTTACAATAGCCAAGAAATGGAAGCAACCTAAGTGTCCATCAACAGATGAATGGATAAAGAAGATGTGGAACATATACACAACGGAATATTATTCAGCCATAAGAAGAAAACAAATTCTACCATTTGCAACAACATGGATGGAGCTAGAGGGTATTATGTTCAGTCAAATAAGTCAGGCGGAGAAAGACACGTACCAAATGATTTCACTCATATGTGGAGTATAATAACAAAGAAAAACTGAAGGAACAAAACAGCAGCAGAATCACAGAACCCAAGAATGGAGTAACGGTCACCAAAAGGAAAAGGACTGGGCAGGAGGGGTGGGAAGGGAGGGATAAGGGCAGGGAAAAAGCAAGGGGACTTTACGATTAGCATGTATAATGTGTGGGGGAAAGGTATAGGGAGGGATTTGCAACACAGAGAAGACAAGTAGTGAGTCTACAGCATCTTACTACGCTGATGGACAGTGACTGTAATGGGGTTTCTGGGGGCGACTTGGTGAATGGGGGAGTCTAGTAACCATAATGTTCTTCATGTAATTGTAGATTAATGATAACAAAATAAATAAACAAACAAATAAATAAACAGTACCTAGTTTATTTTTGATAAACAAGATAAACACAGCCAGTCTATTTACAGATGCCACCTAGAAATGATCCAGACATAGGATATAAAAGAATCCCTTGAGGGAAGACAAACTAGACTGCAGATAGAGGCTGGGTTCAGGGGCAAATGGCCACATCTTTGGAAACACTAGTTTCAGAGGTAAAAAAAAGTCCTTTCTAGAGATTTGGGCTCTACCTGCCATCACAGCACGGTCACTCATCAGTGTTAATCCCCTCCTGGCAGTTTTCTTATGTTTATACTACACATTCTTATCAGAGGTGGCAAGTGGAAAGATAAGTGGTTCTAAAGGAAAACAAAAAAAACTTTTAATAATTATGACTGTGGCACTCTGGAGTTCAACCCTTTCTGAAAAAATTTTATTGCTTAATATTTGATGTATCTCATTGGGTTGTTGACTATTCACATTAGGAACACTGACACTGAGTAAAGGAAGATACACAAAATGTATGCAAGATCAGAGCTACAATAATATGGCAAACAGTAAGGACTAGAAGACTGTCTCTCAATTGACTACTTGATCTCAGAGTCATGTTTTCAGACGTAGCCTGTGAGTACCTGCTAGCTACCTTGTCATTTGAGCTTTTGGAGATTTAGATTTTGAGAATTAAATTAAATAGTTTCAGCAGAAGACACAGGACAACAGCCAGACTACATCCACACCAGCGAGAACACAACACCTCATGAAGGGGGTAAGATACAAGCCGCGGCACGGAGGGACTCGAGCGCCCCTCACCCCAGCTCCCGGCAGGAGGAGAGGAGTCGGAGCAGGGAGGGAGAGGGAGCCCAGGACTGCTAAACACCCAGCCCTAGCCATCCAGACCAGAGCGCAGACACACAGTGCATGCGTGGGGTGCTGGAAACTAGGGAAACAGGACAGTAAGACCTGTGAGCAGGTCCCCACAGCCGGCGCACCTGGGACAAAGAAAAGCGAGTGCTTTTTGAAACTCTTAAAGGGACAGGGACCCCACAGCTGGACGGAAATGCCCCAGGACACTTAGCCTAGCAGCTGGGAATCCCAAGGAACTCTGGATGCCCGAACCCCCACAGTGCAGCTTGGAGGCCCCTCACCATGATAAACAGCCTCCCATCTGTTTCCCCTCCGATGCAGCTCGGCCATATTGGAGAAGCAGCCTGAGGCAGGCCATGCCCACAGCAACTGCAGAGCTAAATAAACTCCATAGCAGCCGAGCAAGATCAGAAGTCCCATCTGCACGCAGCTGCCCAGCACAAGCTGCTAGAGGCTGCTGTTCTCCCAGGAGAGGAAGTCCACAAACTGGCAAGAAAGGACTTTCTCTTACCCAACACATGCGCCAGCTCCCCACAAATATATCTATCGCCATGAAAAGGCAGGAGAAATTGATACAGACCAAGATCACAGAGGCAAACCCTGAGAAGGAGATAGACCTAACCAGTCTTCCTGAAAAAGATTTAAAAATAAAGCTCATAACCATGATGATGGAGCTGCAGAGAAATATGCAAGAGCTAAGGGATGATGTCCGGAAGGACACTACAGAAATGAAACAATCTCTGGAAGGATTTATAAGCAGAATGGATAAGATGCAAGAGGCCATTCATGGAATAGAAACCAGAGAACAGGAACGCATAGAAGCTGATTCAGAGAGAGATAAAAGGATCTCCAGGAATGAAACAATATTAAGAGAACTGTGTGACCAATCCAAAAGGAACAATATCTGCATTATAGGGGTACCAGAAGAAGAAGAGAGAGAAAAAGGGATAGAAAGTATCTTTGAAGAAATAATTACTGAAAACTTCCCCAAATTGGGGGAGGAAATAATCGATCAGACCATGGAAGTGTACAGAACTCCTAAAAGAAAGGACCCGAGGAGGACAACACCAAGACACATAATAATTAAAGTGGCAAAGATCAAGGATAAGGACAGAGTATTAAAGGCAGCTAGAGAGAGGAAAAAGGTCACCTACAAAGGAATACCCATCAGGCTATCAACAGACTTCTCAACAGAAACAATACAGGCCAGAAGAGAATGGCATGATATATTTAATGCAATGAAAGAGAAGGGCCTTGAACCAAGAATACTGTATCCAGCACGACTGTCATTTAAATATGAAGGAGGGATTAAACAATTCCCAGACAAGCAAAAGTTGAGGGAATTTGCCTTCCACAAACCACCTCTATAGGGTATTTTAGAGGGACTGCTCTAGATGGGAGCACTCCTAAGACTAAATAGATGTCACCAGAGAAAATAAAATCACAGCAAAGAAAGCAGACCAACCAAATACTAACTAAAGGCAAAAAATAAAATCAACTACCAAGTAAAAGCACTTAAAGGAAGCACAAAATAGCACAGAATAAAACAACCAACATATAAAGAACAGAGGAGGAGGAATAAGAAGGGAGAAAAATAAAGAATGACCAGATAGTGTTTAAAATAGCTCAATAAATGAGTTAAGTTAGACAGTAAGATACTAAAGAAGCTAACCTTGAACCTTTGGCAACCACGAATCTAAAGCCTGCAATGGCAATAAGTACATATCTTTCAGTAATCACCCTAAATGTAAATAGACTGAATGCACCAATCAAAAGACATAGAATAATAGAATGGATAAAAAAGAAAGACCCATCTCTATGCTGCTTACAAGAGACTCACCTCAAACCCAAAGACTATAGGAACAAAGAAAGACTGAAGGAACAAAACAGCAGCAGAAGCACAGAACCTAAGAATGGACTAACAGTTACCAAAGGGAAAGGGACTGGGGAGAAAGGGAGAGAAGGGAGGGATAAAGGTGGGGAAAAAGAAAGGGGACATCACGATTAGCATGTATAATGTGGGGGGGGGGGCATGGGGAGAGCTGTGCAACACAGAGAAGACAATTAGTGATTCTACAGCATCTTACTACACTGATGGACAGTACTGTAATGGGGTTTGTGGGGGGGATTTGGTGAAGGGGGGACCCTAGTAAACATAATATTCTTCATGTAATTGTAGATTAATGACAACAAAATTAATTAATTAATGAAAAAAATTGAAATCATTTCTAATTTGTTATTTTTAAATCTAAAAAGTCAACCCCTTGTTGATGATGTCAAGTATCCCCAAAAAAGTCAATAATATTGGAATGAATATCTAGCAGCTAACTTAAAAGGTACTTTCTCATATCAAGCAAATTTATAGGTTAAGTTCATTAAAGATACTTTTAAAGAAATTAACTTAATTTTTAATTATTTTACATTTGTCAAAAACACATGAATTTAAAAAAACTGATGTTTTATTAGTATACATTAATATAAATTGCTAAAGTAGACAATTTACATTACATAAAGTATTCAACAAATACAGTAAAATGTTTTTTTAATTTTAACTTTTAATTTTTGTTTATTCTCAAACTTACATTGAATAAAAAGACTAAATTTTATAGTTCCTTCTTACATATAAAATAGATATATAAAAACAGTACAAAAGATACATATGGAAACTATGGTATCAAAATCTCATGAAGATGTGGCTATTACAGGGAGAAACATCTAAAAAAGCTCTTAAGGAGTATAATAACGAAAAATATTTTACAAATACTGGCTTAAAAACATAAAACACCTACCTCACCCAACTTTCTATCAAAAAATGGGCCCTCTCCCCACTTTGCCCAAGGCCATAATAGACCAGTTCTCATTATGGATAGAGTTAGGGGGGACCATTTACTGAGGGGCTGAAACAACAGTAAACAAACAAAAACTTCCAGCATTCCCATTAACACTTGAAATACACACACTGCTCCACAAAAAACATTACTCTAACGGACAGATACCGTTCTGTAATAATAGAGGTTTGACTATGTTAATGGGTTAAAAACACGCCTACTATTAGAAAATAATTAAATATCTTTGGTAAGATTATTTACAATTATTAAAAAATCAATTATATAAAGTTAAATAAATTATCAAAATTCACCACTTTAGTTTGGGGAAAGCTACAGGAAAGGGAAATCTGACAGTCATAAAAACAGTGAAAGGACTGCTAAGTACCTGCCCACAAAGACTATGGAACTCCTTTTGCAATATGCCAATAGAACCCTTTCCTGTGGATTAATGGGAGGCTAGCCTTCTACAGAATTTTCACCCACATACTATGCCTCTAGAATCAGAGAATAAACTTTGCACCAAACTTCTGAAAGGTATTTATTTTCTGAAAACACAGTTTACTTTCTTTTGTATCAATTCACTGTAACTGGCAATGGCATAGGGTAGGGGGAGCAGCCAAACATTATTTTTTATTGGTAACATTTTTTTTCTGGACTACTAGATTAATATTGTGAAATTCATGCTTTCCTTCACTTGCTTACATACATTTAAGTATTTCTTCCTGAGTATTCGTTACACTATTAGCCTTTCTTCTGCCAAAATGGAGGACATTAAGTTATATCTGAAAACTATGCTATAGATTTCCCCATGGAAATGAGACAGGTATACTAAATTATCGATTATGAAAGTTTCTGTCCCCAGGGTTCAAATAAAGAAATACTAAGAGTAAACTGGCTCATTCCATTTTCTTACAGTTGACATAAGAAACCTCTCTCAGATCTTTTTAAGAATAATACATCATGAAAATTTTTCTATTCTAATTCTATACAAAATAATATGATGCATCTTGAGAATTAAGCATATGTGCCAAATAAAAAATGCTTATATTTTACATTCCATACCATTTTGGAAATTCATAGAAAACAAAACTTGAATTTAGATAAATAAGTGGTTAGAAGATAACTATGTCAAAACAATTAAAACCTATCTAAATGAGAAATAACAGTTCCTTTTCACAGCAAGGTATGTTCATGTGCTCTAAATGTGTAAAGTTTAAATGGAGAACATAACATAACTATGACATGATTCAAAAAATTGATTCATGTCATAATTATATGACATGATTCAAAAAAAAGAAACAAACTCAAAGAAATCCTTTTCTAACATTAATTTCAAAAGGAAACCAATAATATCAAACATAAACATATTCATGATTAAAAATAAATGTATTTCTTGATTAAATTTTCAAGTCATAGATCTAAGACTTCAACTGAAAACTTCTAAAAAGATAATTAAATTTGAGTAAGATGAATATATCTGGTTATTTTAATATGACAAAAATACTCATTGTCATTAAAAACCATTTCAAGGATCTTTCTAAAGAACAATGAAAACCAACTGAATTTAATGAAAGTCAGTGCTTTTTGACAGGGTCTTCAAATTTAAATCAAGAAGCTAAAATTTGGTAGCTTTTTTGCAGCAAATTTTTACTTTTCTGTTTGCCGTAAAGGCGAATATTCATCAACACTATCTAAATGAAATAATGTTAAAATTGGTCTGAATGGTTCAGTTCTAAAATACTAACTTCTACAGAGGTAATTTTCAAACAATACATATTCAATTTAGATTACTCATTGCAGAGTCTTAAGATTGAAACTCTGGAGTTCACTGATGAAACTCTTAGAAGTGGTCCAGGACCTACAACATGCTGGTAGTAACTATGGATGATTACACCACGATGAACATTTCAACTGTCTTTAATGAAAGATATAGAGAGCCTATCCAGAATCTAGAATTTTTAATTCTTAAAACTTTAGAGTACATTTAAGAGTTTATGACCTTAAAATTTCTCCCACAGAAAATTAGCCAACCTATGGAAAAACACCTATGTCAGAAAGAACAATTTACATGAAATCAACAAAGTGAGACATATTCCCAAAAGGAGTTAACAGAAATAATCTTTTATTACCTGAGCAACATCCTCAAGTTTATTCCACTTGATTGACAGCAATAATTTTGGCAGTGACTGTGGGAAATTCTCTCTGCAGTCTTGTCGCAAAGTCCAAATAAGATCCATTTCATTTTCACACAGTTGAGACAAGGGATCCCTGTCTAAGATTTCTTTCAGAACAGCAAGAAACTTTTTTCCACCTCGACTCTAACAAAAATGAAGTTACTCATTACAACACTGAATTATGCAAAACAAACATCACTGGCAAACCCTTAGGAAATTTATATACAACGAATTTATAAGCAGTTCATGAACTTTAGAAGATGAAATGTTAAAGCTCTATTCCCTTAAAAATTTTAAGAATATCCTTTTTAAAGTTCTTATCATAAATCTGTAGGTTAAAGATGAAGGAAAGAATTCTCAGAGTTCTAAAAAAGGAAAAACAATCCGTTTTAAAAATCCATTGCGAAAAAAAAATCCATTGTGATCACTAGGTGGCAGAATTACAATTTGGATTATAAAGAAGTAATGTGTTATCTGAACTGAATTTGTCTTTCCTTCTTTAATTTTCAGTTTCTATAAATAACAAAAACACAACAAAGATGAACAAAACATGAAATTTTAAAAGTAACAGGTTTCTTGACTCAGAGGAATAAAACCATTTAAATTAAGATATAATCTTAGCTAAAATGAAACATGAAAAAAAGTCATTCCATATTCCTTTCTACTCCTTATATGAACTATTAAAACATGGTATGTACTATTTTTTGGATCTAGACTGTGAACTGTTAGACTAACAACTGGATCTGGACTAACATTAAAAGAAAGACATTCATTTCCCATACTTCTAGAGAGTCATCTGACAAGATTCTATAAGGAAATTCATTATTATATTATTTCATACCTAACATTATTGTAACTGGGATTTCATATGAACATTTTACCAATGTCTGTATAAAGTCATATTACTAATTTTCTAAAGTAGTAAGATTCAAAATAGTATATGCATCTGTAAAAATGAGGAAATAGAATTGTTTATGCAGAAAACCTGAAAGAATCAACAAAAACAGTATTAGAACTGATAAGCAATTAAAGCAAGTTGTAGAATACAAGGTCAATTTACAGAGGTATTAAATTATTAAAAGTAAACTGCTTTCCTATATATTCAACAAATAAATAAGTAGAATTTGAAGTTAGAAGCGATACCATTTACATTAGCACCCAAAAATGTAAACCTTAAGCGTAAAACTAACAAAATATGTACAAGATCTATATGAGAAAAACTACCGAATCTGAGGAATGAAATCAAAATAGAACCAAATAAATGGAGAGATATCCTATATTCATGGACAGGAAGACTCAGTGTTGTCAAAATGTCAGCGTTCTTGAACTTAATCAACAAATTCAATAAAAAAACAATCAAAATCCTAGTAGGGTATGGTATCATCGGATGATTCTAGAGCTAATATGGACAGGCAATACCCATAATAACAATATTGAATAAAAAGGAACAAAGTTGAAAGACAGACACCACCCAATACATAAAAATGTGAAACATTAACTATAAAATTCCTATTACACTACTATTGAAAATCTACATGACCTTGGGTTTGATGATGACATCTTACATATTATGCCAAATGCACAGTACATCAATAAAATAATTCATAAGCTGGACTTCATTAAATTTAAAATTATCATCTCTGTAAAAGACACTGTCATGAGAATGAAGACAACCCATAGACTGGGAGAAAAATATTGCAAAAAGACATACTGATAATGGACTTTATATTTTCCAAAACATACACACTCTTAAAACAATAATAATAAAATAAACCATTAAACTAAAACATGGACCAAAGACATGAACAGACACCTCACCAAGTAAGATATACAGATAGCAAATAAGCACATGAAAAGATGCTTAATATCATATGTCATCAGAGAAATGGAGATTAAAACAAAAATGAGATACAACTACATACCTATTAAAATGGTCGAAGTCCAGAACACAGACATCAAATGCTGTGGAGAAACTCTTACTCATTCCTAGTAGAAATTCAAAATACTACACTTTCTTAAGTGGTTGTATCACTTAAGAAAACAGTTTGGCAGTTTCTTACAAAACTAAACATAGTCTTGCCATACAATCCAGTAATCACGCTCATTGGTATTTAGCAAGGTTTTTAACTAATGCCCACAGAAAAACCTGCACACTAATGTTTATAGTACATTTATTCAAAATTGCCAAAACTTGGAAGCAACCACGATGTCCTTCAGTAGATAAGTGGATAAACTATAATACACACAGACAGTGGAATATTTTTTAGCATTAAAAGAAAAACAACTATCATGCTTCCAAAAAAGGGGGGGAAACATCAAATGTGTATTACTAAGTCAAAGAAGCCTATATGAAAAGGCTCCATACTGTATGATTACAACTATATGACATCTGGAAAAGGCAAAACTATGGAGACATTTAAAAATATCAGTGGATGCTAGAGACAGGGAGGGGCAAGGGTGGGAGAATTAATAGGCAGAGTACAGAGGACTTGCAGGGCAGTGAAATACTGTATGATATTATGATGATGGGTGTATGCATTATACATTTGTCCAAACCCATGGTATTCATGCATACCACCAAGAGTGAAACCTAAGGTAAATAATGGACTCTGGTGATTATGATGTGTCAATGTAGGTTTGCTCTTGGTAACATATGCACCATTCCAGACAATGATGTTGATAAGGGGGAGGCTATGCATTTGTAGGAGCAACTGATTTGTGGGAAATCTCTATTAACCTTCTCTAAATGCTCTGAAAAAAAAAATAGTCTTATTTGAACACACACAAACACAGACACACACAGATTCTATATATTATTTAAGCAGTTTTATATTAAGATCCTCAACCTAAAAAATAAAAAGGGTATGCTCTTATTTTACAGGCTTGTCTAGGTTTCTCTAAAAGTGATTGTAAGATGTCATGAGGATTTAAAACTGAAACTTATACTCACATCTTAAAGTGAAACCTATTATTGCAAGCAACAAAAAGTATTAATTGTTCATGTTAGAAAAAAAGACTATGTTAAATACTGCAAAAAGCTACAAACCTACTATATTTTCATGGAACAAAATCAGAATCTACTTTAAGTAAATTATGAAGACCCAGGACTAAACTAAGGTCTTCTAATTGTTTACTGAGCTTTCATGAAAAGCAGAGCACTGAATAAAATGCCAAGGTAAAAATAAGTACCAGAAATGTGGCAGGAAATCGAACAAAATACAGAATCTTAAATTATTTTATAAAACCCACAGTAATCAGTAATGAAAAATTATACTGTACAGCACAACTGGTGAACTTACATACATGTTCAAATGCTTGAACTGAAATAATGGTGAAATGTAATAAAAATTAACACTCATATGCTATTTTTATGTTCAGGTTTTTCAAAATTCATAAACACATTATGTTATAATAGTGATTATTGACCAAACTAAAACAAAACATAGAAAGGCAAAACTAGAGAAAAAAATTCTGTGGTGGTATATCCAAATCAGAGTCACTAATAAGAACACATAGTTTTTAATAGGTATATAAAGAAATACATCTCTATCCTTGTATCAGGCCAAATTAATATAAAAACATATATACATCTACATTATCTAGGTCTTATTTCATGAAAGTCCTAGATACAATTGCACACAAACAGAGGTGAGTACACCAATGCTCAGATCTTGTATTCTAAATACTTTTCACAAGTAAAAAGAATCAGGACACCCTGGAGAAATGACTGACTCCAAAGTTAAAGTAAACACTAGATGAGCTGGGAACACTTTGTACCAGAAAGAACAAAATATTCAAAGAATGATAGAGAAATATCAAAAAGATACTGGGAGACAGCTTGAATGGGCTGCCACTGGCCAAATCTGGTCATTTTGAGCATCAAAATAAATGACAGTAACGAAGTCATTAATAAACAGGAATCACAAATCCATACCACTTACTATCAGTTAAAAAAAAAGAGCAAGTAAATGGGGTAGAAGAAAAACCTCTACCCCATGATGCTACTAACAAATCCAAAAAGAAAAATAAATTTGAAAATCAGCACTTGGCAAACTACTGCAGTAATACTGATTCAGGCAAAATATTTTAATAAATAATAAAACAGTTGAAATTTTGATGTGAAACAAGATGTTTACTCTATCTCAAAATATGCCCACAAAATAATTGTTAACTTTATAGCAGAAAAATCTAGTAGACATTCTCATAATTGAGTGATAACAATTAACATCAATAGTAATGGAATAAATTGACATTGTTTGCCTCCAGCTAAAATGCAGTACACCTCCACTACTTAAATGTATCCATGCTAAAAATGCAGAGCTGAAATCAGCACAAGACAAAATTATCAGGCAAATCCAAACTGAGAGACATTCCACAAAATAACTGGTCTGTATTTTTAAAAATGTCACCATCATTAAAGATAAGGAAAGACTTAGGAAACTGTTTTAGAATGAGGGAAACTAAAGTGACATGACAATCAAATACAAGTAATCCTGGGCTGGATCCTAGCCCAATAAAGGACATTATTGAGATAATTGGCTAAATTTGAATGGAATATGTAGATTAGACAATGGAACTCTATCAATTATTATTTTCCTGATTTTATGAATAGATTCTCGTTAAGTATGAGAATGTCATAGTTTTTAGGAAATACACTGAATTAAAGGGCAAAAGGGCATGGTGTATGCCACTTAAGCTCAAATGATTCACAAAATATGCACACACACACATAGATTGATGAAACGAATGTAAAATGTTAACAGCTGGGGAAGCTGAACTATATGGGAACCCTCTGTACTCTTCTCACAAGTTTTCCGTATGTTTGACATTTTTTTCTTAATGGTTAGTATTTCCTTCCCTGAAATAGAAGGCTGTAAACATTTCAAATCATTCCTCTAAGAAAACATTATAGGAAGATCCCCCAACCTCTGAACTAAAAGCTGAGTCATTATCCGCATTATCCAAAGCCAGCCAATAAGATTCTGTACCTGAGTTTTTTCAGTAATAAAATAAGACAAACTTCATTTATAAAATAGATGTTTTAGATTACAGGATCTTGGTAAGAAAATGCCTAGACAATGCCAAATGCCCCATAGAGGATGAAATAGCCTCAAGTTCATAACCACTGGATAAGAAGTACTCTA